CGTATACGGCAGTATACGCCGCCGTAAACGGCCGTATACTGCCGTGTCTGGTTGCTGTAATGCTCGTTCTGGGCAAGAATAAAAGCCTGAAGAGTAAGCAATTTGTACAAAAGTTTACCTGGTGTAATATTTAACATGATTGGTTTTATTGAATCTCGAATAGCCGTCCATCGAATTTGGAACAATCGTTTAAATTTCAATTCGGGAATTTCCAACAAATTTTGCCAACATTTTAGCTTGAAGGTTCGAGTTGCACTTGAACCAAAATACTGATAAATTTTTCCTATCAGACCTTCCAGTTTGGAAATTAATTCGCGTTTTCTAGGTTTTTCTTCATTATCTGTGAAATACTTTTTTCATTAATGAATAAAAAGTATATACTACGTACTGTATTTGATAAATCCAGCTTGATTTCCAACCAATGCAAATGTATGTGCCACACATGTATTTAATTCAACAAATTCTATACCAAAATCACGTTTTAATTTAGAAATAACACCATTATTTATTCCTACAACAATTATTTTTGACAATTCAAAAAGAAACAAAGGTACACTACCTGTAAATGTAGCAGCATTATCAGTTGCAAACCAACACGTTTTTTCAGGATTTAAATCATCTGCTCTCCATAATGATTCAATACATTTGACTATATTATCAGCCGAGCCATCACCATCTAAAGCTAATATACCATAAAAACTTGTTTTGGCTTCATCATTCTCCAAATATCTGACATAGATTATCAGACTTTTTTCTACGGTACGAGATGTACTTTCATCAAGCATCCAACCTAAAATAGTCAATAGAATTATGATTAAATTTTTTTATTTATTTTTACCTATAGATGGACTATTTTTTATCTTTTCAAGAATTTCTTCACGTAAATACGAAGCTACATGACGTAAGAAATCGAGAGCCGCATTGTCATTACGATATGATACACTACCTATTTCTGCTGGTAATAATTTAAGACCAAGAGCTTCAATCAATGTACATAATTTCTCAAACGAGTTGAGAGATTGATCCTGTTGACAGACATAAACAGCAGAAAGAATTAAATTTTGTATTGCAGCTTCATGTTTATTTCTTTCTTTTATTTGCGTTGTTGTCCAAGTAGGTTGAGAATAAGATGCTGTTTGTAACTCAAGTTCTTGTGCTTGTTTATGAACTTCATTATCTTTATGTTCTTTTATTTTCGATAATTTCATTATTTTATAACCTGTTGTACACCATAAATTAATTTTCCCATTTGAGTTGAATGTTTTTTGATATTTTTGACAAAGTTTACATCCAAGACTATCATTTCCATTTTTATCTTTTTTATTGTACAACCAGCAAACGAGTTTCTCGTGTCTAATACCAAATATATCGAACGTATATGTTTTATAAAAGGATTCTGGTTGTTTTTCCCATGCAGGTAAATAACGATGAATTGTTTTCTTAGATGATTTATTTGATGAATCGATTGCTACTGTTGCTGCATCTACTGTTGCCATATCATAATCATGATCCATGGCCAAATTTGTTGATATATGTATTCTATTATCATTAGATGAATCCATTATAATTTCTGTTTCAATTTTATCAATAATAACTACTTCTTCATCTGAAATTTTATTATCATTAACAGGTAAATGAAAAAGATCATTTAAAATCTGTCCACCTTGAAAATTATTAATATTAATATTAGTTGTTAATATTGTTGAACTAGGGGATTTATCGATATTTGTTTGTTCCATTATGATCATAAATATAATCAAACATGCTAAATAAAGAAAAGTGAATAATAATATTACTGCATTCACCTAGTTTTCTTACAATGTATTAGATAGAACAATTGAATAAATAAATATAAATTGAGTGAAACGATCGAATGAATAAATATAATTGATGTACAACAGTTGAATGAATAAATATAAATAAAAGAAGAGTCAAAGCTAAATATCAAGTAAGAACAAGTAAAGTTATCTATAAAAACAAGGTTCAATTCAATATCTAGAAAAAGAAAAGAAATTTCAATGATGCATTCGATCAAATCAAAAAAGAGCTTCTTACCTCCCTCTATAAATACAATAGAATATGTAAACAAAAGGAAAACGAGCAATTTTTAAACAATGGCGAACAAATGAGCAAAGTGCTTTTTTATTTTACAAAGTACTATAGAGGTATTTTGTTTTTTCGAGCAAAGTGCAAAACACGGTACTTTTTCAAAATCGTAAGTACCTCGGGTACTTTGCTTTTGCTTGTGGTACTTAATATTAAAAACACTGGATTCATAGCCATTTAAATGTATATAATCAAGCAATGGCTTGCTAGTGAAATGTTTGTCACATTTTATTTTATCTTCCAAATAGTGAAGAAACAAGATCTAATGGGTTAAATTTAGAATGAATGAGATTCTCAATACTTAAGTTATCATTTCTTATAAAATGATTATTTTTTTCATTATTTGGAAGATAAAATAAAGCGTGAAAAAGGATTTCATCACAAAGCAATTACTATTTCTAAGAATATATGTGACCTAATTTTTGTTATCTATTGGTAAACATTACTTTTTACTATTGCTTGTAACATTAAGATAATGCGAGTTCTATCTATTCATCACTAATATTAATGTATTAAAATGTTTTTTGTAAATACTTTATATAACGAAGTTGAAATATAAGAACCAAGGACTTCATTAAAACGTGATTTTCCAGACGTTTTTAATCATGCACAATGCATTGAATAAGAGAAAAGAACGAATTATTTTAACATGTTATTTTCATATTTCTGATTGCATGGACAGTAATTTGATAATAATCCTTTTTTTTCTCTCTATGATCTAGAAGATAATATTATAGTCCAGAAATATATTGATTTTTGTATATTATGTCTTATTAAGATTATTACTGCAATTTCTCCTGGAAGAGAAATTTGGCTTTTGAGGAATAAGTTAATGACATTTCATGCACGTTATCCTCTTCTCTATATTCGTGTATTCACAAACTGATCTTATGACCTTCCGCTCGTCGTCCTATTACGTGGTTGTTGTTGCTTTGTTACTGTTGACTGATACATGATCACTCTCTGCTATATAAGTAAGTGTAAACGAAGGAAATGTCTACTAGAAATATGCAGATGACATAATACACCATCATGTCGACGGGCATCGGTGATATTTTCTAAGTTTGTAGAAATTAGCTTACTGAAAAATTACTTGTAATGCGAGTTGCAATTTGTAAAAAGTAAAAATTGAACCATACAATAGTATAACTCTAATTATACTAAGTTTCTTTTTTTATTATTGTACGATGTCTAAAATGGTTTTATAAGTATATATATGGAACTAAAGAATTTGTTTTTCTTTTCTAGATAATATTAAAATTGTCGATATTAACTTCATCGAAGCATATTTCAAAAAGCAAAAATTGCCTTTAAAAAAAAGCAATTTGAAGTAAAATATCATGCAAATGAAATTGAAGTTAGGCTCAAAAAAAAGAGATCTAACGCGACATACTATCGAGAATGAGATGGAGTTTACATGCTTCTCTGATTTTGAACTTCAATGTTTGTCAAAAACTTCCTTCTGATCAATATTCTTTTTAATTTCCACTCGCACAATTGTCTAGAGTTACCTTTTTTTCAGACATTTCAGCTAATCTAAGGCTTATTGATTCTAGAATCGATACGAATTTATTTTCCAATACTCAATGTTTATATAAAATTGCATCGATTCTAAAATTAACAAGTCTTAAATTGGTTGAAGTGTTCAGAAAAGATAGATACCAGACGGTACCTTATCTTGGTTTAAATGGTCCCATTAAGAAAAATAAACGTATGTCAGTATCTCAAATCAGTTATCCATTGATGCTTGAAGTCTCTAGATTAAACGTATTGCGTCCAATCAGAAACTGCTTCCAGTGACTTGACTTTTTAGAGTGTCCTGCTGATTTGTATGTTAGAAAAAAATTGATCCGCATACGTCATACGCTTATCTGCACCTCTATTGGGAAACTCGAAAAATCGAGAAAGAAGTTGCCTAATCTCTTCTAGAGTTACGAAAAAGGAAAAAATAATATGGTTCGAAACACTTACAAAACGCAAAAACATGATAAGTGACAGTTGATTCATCTGACATCATATTTCAATAAAAGTGTTCATGCTTCGAGTAGTTCTTGACAGACTCTTAATACCACATCGTAATAACATCATTTTTTTCAACCAAATATCCAATTCACTGGTCCTAGTGACCTTTTTGGACAGAGCTTATCAAGTTGTGTTGAAATATTATCTCAAAACAAGCAATTTGAAAGGTGTATGGGTCTTCTTTGCATCTACATCTACCCTACAATATCCTAGTCATACAATTGAATTCTAAAATCTACTACTAATGTCTTTAATTTAAGCTTCTAGATTTTCAATGATCAAAAAACGAAACAACACAAGATAATTTTTCACATTTTTCACCACATTCAACATCAACAACTGTGATGATCGAATCTCATTCACCATTGTTGACTTAGCGACAATATGAAACCAACAATAGAACAAATCGATGGATCAAGTAAACAATTATCTAAACATCCTATTCAATTTACACCTGAAACTTTACGTACACATCTTGAACCAATTATTCACAAAATGGTCGCTTGGGAAGACTCATATCCATTTCGTCAACCAGTCGATCCTGTTGCACTTAATATACTTGATTATCCAACAATAAATAAACATATAATGAATATATCAACCATGCATAATAAATTATTACGTGGAGAATATAAAAATCCATTACAATTCTGTG